TACCGGATAAAGACTTTGAATTGGATAGGCGTTGAGTTAAATTCGGTTTGGCTTATTGGCACTCTCTATGTACAGAGTACGTGGATAGTTGGGGAGCTTGCCAGTCTTCCGACTGCTCATATTATCATTCGATCTATCACTCGGCTGCTGGATTGTAAGTTGGCTAACGTTTCAGTGTCTGCATACTCAGCTTTTTATCTCTGGCTGGTCGACACTTTGATGCTTCTAGGCTTCCGGCAGGCTGCATCATTGGCAGACGGTAGCACCTGTGAACATAATAACAATGGCCTTTCACAAGGGTCTGTTGCAAATGTGACAACCAGCTTCCTGAAAAGGCCGTTCTTAGTTGATTGCGCTACAAAATACTGCCTCACGGTCTTAGCAACTTGCACGCTCTTGAAAACAACAGTCACTATGCAAAGTTAGTCACCGAAACATACTGAACGAAGGACCTCCAGACATTCTTACCGTTGCCGGAATTATATGCCCATGCAATATCAATAGCATCAATCCCTCCTGCGGCCGCGGCAACCTTCTCCCGAAACTGCGTAAAGCTCAGATGATGTCCAAGCAACTTGGCTTTGGAGAACGTCAACCGGCGCCGCTCCCGTGGTATCTGGGTCATCTTTCGAAGCTCTGTATGCCACATGAATTCCTGTACATTAGCAATCGAATATCCCGGCCCAAAACGTCCATACCCAAGCTTAGACGCTATGGCTCGATCGCTCCCGATAAAATCGGCCGCCTGCTCAGAATGCTGGAAAATGATCTCCGCGTACCCCTTGTCAGGATAGATATCAATACTGTATAGCGGGCCTTCGTGGATCTTGGAGGAGAGAAAGCCCAACACATTCCGTGGGAATATTCCTATCACCGTCACCTTGCTAGCTTTGGGCTCTAGAGGCTTCCACTGGAGGCTGACTGCGCCACCAGATGGAAGTAGAACCCGTTCAGCCGAACATGCAACTCTGGTTGGTGAAGGCACTGTCAGAACTGAGGTATCCGGGTGGAGTCCTAACAACTCTCCTAATGCCCTGCTGCGCATATTAACCTGGCTGACACTGTCTTTACTTGAATTGTTGATATCGATAGTGCCAGCCAGTGTCTCATCCTCTTTTGATCTCGCTATATTGGGCGTGCCATTCTGTTTTGGGCTCTTCTTGCTCGTTGCTTCTACCTGCACTGCCATTAGTATGTTCCATTATATACCCCTTCCCTATATCCTGAAATCTGAACCCTCACCTTGATCTTTATCTCCATTTGATCTTGTGGGAGGTCGACGGTACCCTCCATAAATGCAGTGATTATATCATTTGCACCCTTAGCGATCTTATTACAGGGTCTATTAAGCTCGAATTTTTGCAGCTTTTTAATCAGGTAATGTTAGCAATATCAATCACAGGGGCTGGTTGTTAGGAAGGGCTTTCCTCTGGGAATACCTACATGATTGACAATAAGCTGGAGCTTTTCCATAACTTCCATCATAACTTCGTCAATATGTTGAACCATGCCTTCTCCCTGTCCAGCCGCTCTAGTAGCCATGGTGGACTAGCAGGATTTAAGGCAACTATAGGGCCCGGACAGGCCTGTGTGAATTAGATAAACTGGATTTGCGTGGTCAAGTAAAGTCCGTTACAAGAAGAGGTTGTTAAGGATAAGAAGCACAAAGACTTAAGCATGGGAGGATAGCGGAACTTACCTAACAACACAATAACTGAGATTAATTTTAGTAGATATAAGAAGGTCTCACTTGCTAGTTAGTTCTTTTAAGAAACCTCACCCGGTTTTACTGCTAACTGAGATACCATGAAAGTCTTCCCTATATAGCTTTCATCATAACTGAACACGGAATGAAAGTTAATGGCACCTTTGCTTGAATGAAGGTATATTATGCCGGAAGAATGGGTTTCAGATGGTTAAAGAAACAAAAGGGCTTTATGAGTTTTCTTTGCAGGCGATATGAAAGCAAGGTAAAGCAACACTTTCTCCTTTCCTTCACACTACAATATGCTGGTAGCAGCTACAGATCAGATATACTAATGTCAATATAGCTATTATAAATTAGGCTTTGAACCAAAGGCCACTAACTAATATCTGGTTAAAACCACAGATCGCTGGAAGCACATCCAAAGAACCAAGGCCCAAACACTTGCTCGGATATACGCATAAAAAATACTCGACAACACATTTTATGGGTGCAAATCGACGTGCAGGGAAAAACAAGTATCACTGAGGTGACGAACAAATGAAAGATCCCTTAACACATAAATGTTAAAACCAGGATCCGAATAGCCTCCTTCTCAGTTCCTTCGCCATTGCTCGCCTGGTATCCAGTGTTCTCGATGCTGCGTCCATATTCTCCTGGCCTCGACGAACAAGATACCTCATACATTCACCGACTGATCCCCAGACCACTGCCTTGTAAACTCTTGGTTTCATTAGCATCGTGGTGTCAACTTCCTCTCCGTCATGGCAGATTTTGCCTCTGTGTATGAGTTCACAGCTAAGCTCATCAGCCATTCCATATATTTGGCCATATGCCAGGCCAATCTGTGTTTGTCCTGCGTTGTTTTGCTGGTTACGGATATCCTGTGCCCGTTTGACGGAGTAACGGTTGTGTGAGGCAACCAAAAGATCGACTTCTGCGAATGGATGCTCTGAACATGAGTGTGGTTCCGCCAAGGGAGGTGAAGCTGGAGATTTCGGCGAGGCCGTCGAGATATATGGTGTGAGAACGGTATTATATTTTCTCCGTATCAATGCATCAGCCAGGCCGTCGTACGCTGCATCCGTTTCTTCTTTGAGATCCCAGATGTAGTGTCTAGGTTCCGTCCCCAGATATGCGCCCCGGACCAGCTTGACGCCCAGAACGAACCCTTCCTCCTGCGCCATCGACATGTGCTGGGATAGAGTCTTGGGAGTCGACCGGAGGTACGCCTGGTACGTGTTATAAACCAGTGCTCTTTCATTCGCAGTGCTATCGCTGCGGTTGTTATATTTGCGTTGCAGTTCAAGAGCCCAGGCGTCAATGGCTGGTTGAACGGCCTGGTGCTCTGCATCGACTAACAAACGAACATTCCGAGATATTGCCCTTTCACAAATTTCAAGCATGGCTTCCCAAAGCAGTGGAGGCGGAGGTATACCGCGTAGCAGATACTGCAGTGCTTCGCTCCCAGCCCCTGTGAACTTGATGTTTACATATCCCCCTTCACCAGCCAAATCAACTGTCTGAAGGTTCCCGTCTCGCCAGGCTCTGACTTCATACTCCGCGACTTTCTTCTCAACCTCTGCCGGGTCTGCATCTGCCCTGTCTATTGCAAGAGATGCAACTGCCTCCTTTTCATCCAGGACACCTTCTCGTGCATGCCCCAGGATAATACCCGAAAACCCAACTTGCCTTATTTCGTCAATACAGCGTTGGACCTCATGTGGTTTCTCCCCAGCACAGAACTGTGCATAGAGGGTTTTACGCAGGACATAGTTCAGTATGAAATTGCGATCAGGGTTCAGAAGAGGTGACTTGGAATCTGCTATAAAGGACAGAACCTTCATTGCGGATGTCAAGAGGAGAGGAGAAGAGGACATTGCAGTTGTGAGCAAGGAACGGGTAATTGAGGACAGGGACAGCATGGATAAAGGAGAAGCTGCAGCCTGACACTGGGAGGACGAGATATTCGAGAGAGGTGGGCTGGCTGGCTGGAATAGGGAGGCAGCTGTGCGCTGCCTCCCGGGCGTGGACAGGGCGGTTGATGAAGGGGGTGAGGGCAATTTGTCCCTGTGGGCTCCCATATATTTCTCTCCATGATGGTATCTGGGCCAGTTGTAGATGTGATGTGCAGGACGGCACTGACTACCTATTATGAGCCGTGCAGACCTACAGGTGAGATAGAGGTGTTGCTTTGTACTCCATATAATGTTGACACTGGGTATCCCTCCTACGGAGGCCATTCTTCGGTGTAATCCTTCAGCGTAACTCACCGTCCAAAGGGATAGCTTTACTGACCAGGAATATAATCTGTCAAGGCGTAAGAGGGATGTCTGTAAAGCAGTTCAAAGTATTAGAAAATAACTAAAGCCGCCACTGCTGACCCAAACAAACAGTTACCAAAGTATATGGAAAGTAGCAGTAACCAAATCTCGAATCTGCAGAGGAAGCCAAACCCAAGGGAAGAAGAGGATTGTTCTATAGTGTTATATAGCCCAATATCATATACAGTCAGGTGCATTTCTTCAGCTAGTTAGTGACGCAGGAAAAGCCACTTGTCCAGCCAGCAGTTTGGCCTGCTATCAAAACACCAAACCCTTGCAGCCATTCCACATCAAGGACGCAAACCATCCAACAGAAACAAGCTGATAGGTAGGATAGACCCGGGAAAGGCTGGATAGATAAAGTCATAGGTCGCTTTCATGTACATCTACATCGGATAGAAAAAGCCGGACAAGCGGGACACACAACCAGAGGTCGTCCTAGGAGGCAAGGTAGCCTACCCTGTCCATAACATGGCCATGGTCCATGGATCTCCACAACTCTGCTACGATGACGATGCGGAGACATGGTTTTGGTTGACAAGCTCAGGGAAGATAAGAGTTACAAAAGCCGTTTTGTTGCCTTTATGACGCTATGTTTGGTCCATCTAAACGCCGAACTATCGATACATCCACGGCTCGGCTTGGGTGGAAGTCAAACATGGACCTGCTGACCTCTGGGCCAGATCTATATCGACCTCGTACTGCATCTTAGCTGTCTCGTAACCAACGGCATCTGGGGATGTTTTCTCCAAAAACGGACACTAGTTGCGACTGGCCTGCTATGCCGTTGCTACTACCGCCAGGTATTGTGTATTATTTCTTTGACCGTACAAAGATGAGTAGACTGCTGTCTAAGACAAGTTCAAGTGAAGCCTCAACGAAGAGATCGATTATTGGTTGGTTCTAAGGACTAACTAACCACAGCTGAACTGACTCGATCAAAGATACGGAGTCCATCCTACAGGGTAAGTATTGCATCGACTTGTCTACAACTTACCCTCGGGAGCTCATTTCCCAAGGAAGATTAAAACAAGCACCAGAGATTCCAGTTGAAAACAAAAGATGAAAAAAAAAAAATATCACAGTGGGCATAGCTCCTGTTCCGTGGCATTAGATGGTTGAAACAGAACTACCACTGCCATAAAGCAGAATGAAAAAAAGGTGACGTTGAATTCTCCTTGGGTATATGATGAAAATGGGGTACCGCTACTCATTATCGTTCGTCATTATTTTTTTTGGGTCTTTTTTCTCTTTTTATCACGCTGACACCAGAGGAGGGAAGTCCCGTACAAAGCTGAAAGATAGATTAGCGAGCTGTCCATCTTCTCCATATGCTAGGAAGCAGTGGGCCGGTACTTACTGTGCTGGACACACATACCCCGCGGGGTTCTTCTCAAGGTACAGCTGATGGTATTTTTCCGCAGTCCACCACTGCCACTTGCCAGGAGGGTTTAGTTCGGTAGTAATAGGAGCCTTCCACCACCTCCTAGCCACCTGGTCCGTTATGCTCTTGGCGATCTTCAACTGTTCATCATTATGCGCAAATACAGCACTTCGATACTGTGTTCCTGTGTCGCTGCCTTGTCTATCCTTGGTGGTTGGGTCATGCATGGAGTAAAAGAATTCGACAAGCTGCTGGTAGGAGACAAGTGATGGGTCAAACAGTACTTCGAGCGCTTCAGCGTCTGTTCCAATGCAAAAGGCAGGAAGAGAGGAAACGTTAGCCAATTTATCCCAGATAATAACAGAGCACTGATTGCGTTCATCATGGATCTAAAGTGTCCAACAAAATTGATAAAGAGAAAGAAAAAAAAAACATACGGCCTGTCTGTCCTGTGCAAACCTGACGGTACGTCGGCAACTTTGAAATTCCCCCACAGTACCCAACAGAGGCATCTAACAGTCCCTTTCCATTTCGAAACCGTCGACGATATATGTGCTCAACGCCCCAGAAACAACCGGCCGCAAAGGTGGCCTTTTGCGCATTGGCAGGGATATTCTGCTGCTTCACGGCCACTCCGCCAGCAGGCGATTCAGGAATAACAGTCATCTTGAAGGAGCTGGCTGAGAAAGGTCTGAGCAATCGTCGGAAGACAGAGGAAGATATCATCAACTGGTGGTCTTTTTTTTGTTCTGGCCGGAGGATAAGGTATTTATCTATGCTGGTTTGATCGCCGTTTTACCTACTACTATGTATGTAGTTTTCAACCTTGGCAGCAGGTAGTTAATCAAAATGTGAGATCTGACAGGAACAGGGAAGAAGAAGAAAAAAGAAAAGAAGAGAACTTGGTATGAATAGGGAGAGATTCCGAGAGGGCGTCGTTTCCGGTAGTTTTGAGAAGCTTCCCCGGGGCGACTTTTTTTCTGATATCGAGGAACGAGCAAGCCGAAATAAATAGTTCCAGGCAAAGAGCCAAGCTATGGCGGCATTTCTTACGCCATCGGCGGGATGACAAATCTAAAGTTATAACTGTTAATTATTATTGTGGCTTGTTGGTATGAGTGGAAGATGTGGTCGAGATGGAGTTTCGGTAAGTTTAAAGTCGTAAATTCGGAGGTTTCGGTTTGCCCCCTTTGGAATCATCATATACAAGCTAAGTGATGCACAGCCTGGGGTACACTGCCTTGGGAAGATATTCAATGAGCTGCTCGATATCACTAGTTAATAAGCTATGCTATACTCCGTACAAATTGTCCAAAAGTCGCCTTCCATGTACATTCGTCAATTTTCCAAGGACCGAGAATGACTCCGAAAAAAAGGACTGGGGGGCATTAGTTAAAAAAAAAAAACATACTCGTAGGATATTAAAAACGGACCGAGAATAAGAAGAGCTTTCTCAGCTCTCTCCCTTCTTCATCAGCTCCTCCAGTCGCTTCTCCAGCATCCTCCTTCCGTCGAGGGTGTCCCAAACCTCATGCGGTGCTCCCTTGACAATGTCCCATGCAACAAGATTATTCGTAACCTTGGTCAAATCTTCTTGCTTATCGGCCCAGGTCTGGCTTCGTCTTACCTCTCTTCCTGAACTGATGACTACTAAGGGGGTAGACGGGCTTTGGATGTGGCGGGCGCTCGAGATCTCGCTGCTGGTTATGGAATCTGCCACCAGGCTCTCTTGTAGTTGGGCCTTGATGAACTTGCCACCCTGGTAGGCACGCATGCCGCAGACCCGGTCCGCACGAGTCCGTCCTTTGAAGATTGCACCAGCAAGCCTGTCGATTCCTAATGGTGAGAGTATGCCCCGTATCCAGAGCTTTAGTCCTCGGCTTGGCTTGCCTAGGGTATGGAGCAGGTCTTCGTGGAGGGTATCGATAAGCATCATTCCACGAATGTCACGAATATGGCGGCTAGCAAAGATGCGACTGTATATACCCCCGACGCCGGCCGAGACAACAATCCAAGGCCCTTCTTCATCGGCCATGGCCAAGGCCTCAGAGAGGGCATCTGCAGACATGCCGGCTGAGTGCGGGGACGGAGCGTTGTCCGACCAGGCGACTCCCGGACGGTCCCAGTAGCAGTATCGTTTGATTACACCGTGCTGATAGGCTTCGTCGACCCAGTTCTGGAACGTATATTCCACGGGGGCCTCGCCCCCTTCCAAAAGGACTGTAACTGCCGTATCGTTACCGTCTTGCGAAGTGGGACGTTCACCAATACAGTGAAGGTGGACTTGGTACTTGTTATCGTCGACATAATATCTCTGTCCCGGTGCTTGCAACGTGGCGTCCTTTGCGCGCAGACTCAAAGTGGACATGAGTAGGATGCCAACAAGGATGGTAACCGCCATGATCACCATTTGAAGCAGGATAGCAAACCATTCTCCGAGCGACCGACGGGTCTCCTCTCGACCGGTGAGCCGTTCTTCTTCCTCCTTCTTGCTCCGAGCCACCACCTGCGTTTGAGCTACCAGGTAGAGAGAGATAAGCATGGCCCATGCTGCTGATGCGATCCCTATCCAGCCTTCTTCTACCCGAAGGCGTGGGACGCCAAGGGTCAGGAACAGACTGACACTCAGGAGTACCGACAAAGAACTGGCCCATATCGTCATCGGCGTCGATGGGATGGCGAAGAATATCAAGGCAATGAGAAGGTTAGATATCGTCAGAGTGGTGAATGAGAAATCAGAGAAGCCTGACCCTCGGTTACTCATCCCAGGAGGGCTGACGAAGATCGAAACGAGCAACAAAATCCACCAGAGGAGTGATATAAATAACACGGTCAGGGTGAGACCTCGAAGAGCCCGAACACCCCATATATTATACGGCGATACCTGAAGAAGTCGGGATTACGAATTAGCCAGCTTCTTCTTCTTCAAATCCACACCGACGCGACCTTTTAACATACAGCAGGGTCATCTGGATGAAGGTATCCATTTCGTTCAGCTGGTAAGAGACGTGTCCTCTCATCTGCGTCCTGCATTCTCCTATCTCGATTGCCCGTCTCGCTGGCAAAATCCTCATCCTGCCCTTCCTCCCGCCCGTTGTGTCGTAAACCCCAGAGGGGGGACATTGTTAAATCTTTAATTCATATACCGTATACTAGTTAATATAAAGTAATCGGATGGACAGCACTATATACAGCTGTCCGAGAGAAGGCAATCTTGATATAAAGGGTGTCAGAGACTCAACGCGGTTACGGTCTTTTGGAGGGGTGTCCGCTACTTATACCATCCACACCCACCCCCATGTCATACAGGATTGACTTCATAGTAGATTTATAACTATATATAACCGCTAGTTATATCGCCTTGGTTCAGGATATTTCTTGCTTTCTCTGTTGTGGCAAGGAAAAGCATCTTGTTGGAAGGCTCAAAAAAAAGGGTGGTCTTTTATGACGTCACCACGTACCTTAGGTAAGGTTGATATCACGTGATTATTTACACCTGGTTTGTACTAGTCGTATTTAATACGTGTACCGCGCATACTCAATATAATACAGCAACAACCGAATTCTGAATATGAGAAGAGGACGCATGATAAAGTCAAGGTCGAAGAGACGCACATTAATAGTTTGTATATGCTGAACAGACCCGCCATAGCATTATATCTCACTTGAAGGGCTGCCAGGGAAAGGAAAGGTTGCTATTTTGTTCCACCAACGGTGCGGTTGTGACACCTGGCGGACTGCTTCTCGAGATACCCCCTTCTGGACTTGGACAAGAGATAACATGAGTGATCTCCAGAAAACTTTCGTCAAATCGCGGCTTGCTAGGTTTCCACCAGATGTACCGGTGTTTGATGAGCTTAGTGAAGGCCGGGCTGGGCCTGAGGCGTATAGTGAACACCCCGAAGACGATTCCTCGTCCGCATCCTCAACTTCCTCTACTGGGACAATAGTACCATCTCAGAACCAGAAATTGTTTGAACGTGGATCTGGGTACGTTAATAGTCGTCCCCCTTGTGTTGTGCTACGCATACCTATTCTTGTTTTCCGTTGATATATATATATCTGTCCAATTGTTCAGAAAGCTTGATAGAATTTTACATCGGCATAGTCTGATAAGTCAGTTTTTTAAAAGGACACGTTCGAGGTCAAATTTTGCAGCTTCTCCTTGGAAAGACTTCTTCGAGACGGACCTCTTCATTGAGGATGATATCGGTGGCCTCCAGATTAACCACCACGTATACTTCACTTCCCCATCCAAATCAGGGCCTCTATTTGTCACCCATCATGGGGCAGGCTCCTCTGGCCTATCATTTGCCGCCTGTGCTGCAGAAATCAGAAGAATCCTACCGACTGCAGGTGTTTTATCATTAGATGCTAGAGACCACGGACTTACACGATATGATACCGATGGTTCACAAAAGCATGGACAGGACCTAACATTAGACACTTTAAGTCGTGATTTTGTTTATATCATCAATAAAACCAAAGAAAAGATGAAGTGGGATTCTATTCCGCCGCTTATTCTAGTTGGGCATAGTCTTGGAGGAGCTGTGGTTACGAACGTGGCCAGGGGCGGTGAATTAGGCTCAAACGTTTTAGCTTATGCTGTCCTAGACGTTGTAGAAGGTGCGTTAATAGAGAGTCATTCCAATATAAATGCCTTATATCTGGGAATACGATGGCTAATCCGCTTTTCAATCATGGCTATTCAGGTTCTGCCATGGATGCACTTCAAAGTATGGAAACATACCTCTCTACAAGGCCGTCAAGTTTCCCATCTCTTGCCTCGGGAATTGAATGGCAGTACGTATCCTATTCCTTGAGCCGCTCCTCTCCTTTAGTTTAACTATGTGGATTCTTACACTGGTCTAGTACTCGATCTCGAACGATACGGAATACGTCGTCGGCACGGGTATCAGTCCAAGGCCTTCTTCGAGAGGAACCCAACACGGACTCTGATTCAGCTACTTGGAAATGGCGCACAGACTTAGCCAGCACAAAACCTTTTTGGGAGGGTTGGTTCACAGGTCTCAGCAAGAAATTTCTTGAGGCCCGTGGAGGCAAACTGCTGCTTCTGGCTGGAACCGACAGATTAGATAAAGAGTTGATCATTGGGCAAATGCAGGGTATAAATCTCACATCTTTCTCCTTTTCATGGTGGATGGAACAATGTTAACGTATTCCCAACAGGAAAATATCAACTTCAAGTTTTCCCAGAGGCAGGGCATTTTATCCATGAAGATCAACCAGTTAAAACAGCGCAGATTTTGGTAGACTTTTATAAACGAAACGATAGAAGCGCCCTTATCCTACCTCCTAAAGTGAGTGATATGTTAGCTTCGAAGGATAGTGCACAGAAATGGGGGCTTAAGTGAGCTTTCATTGCACTATTTATTGCCAGCTCACTTTGTTTATTATCATCATTATTTTAACAAAGGCGTATATAAGAGCTATATGGTGGTCAGAGAAACATGCGGACTCCAGCGGAAGATAGGGTGAGAGCATAGGGTCTGCTCATATTCTTATCACATCAATTAAATTCTACGAAATAGCTTATATGTGCCCCTATCTTACATTAAACGAAGTGAAGCCGCCTGACGAAAAATGGTTAATAGTTAAATACTGCCAGCAGCCCCAACCACAATGAAAACCAGCACACCCAATTTGCCTTCTGAACACCAGCATAAAACCAGAACGCCGCCCCTTATCATAGTATAGAAAGCGTAGTATGTCGTCAGTGTAAAGGCCAGTTCAGGGGGTGTACGCTCCTCCAGCAATCACCAAGTTCATCCTAGTAAAGGTGACATTAAACACTGGAGTTTTCTTAGTTGGGAATGCGCTGATCTGGTCTGCCGTAACAACTGCATCTTTTCCTTTTTTCTTCTTAGCAGAGTTTCCTTTAGATGTGCCTGATTTAGGTGCCCCAGGCCCCACTGCAACAGAAGTTGCTGTAGATGCTTGATTAGTCGTTCCACTCGTGGAACTTGAGGCATCGATCTTAGTGCCTCCCCCAGACTCACTAAGGACACGGCCTTGCCCAGTAGCTGCTTCACTAGGAGGTCCAGCCACATCCCAGACACGGACTGTACCGTCTGCACCCCCTGATACAAGGACATTTGATTCAGCGCTCCAGGATAACGACCAAATGCTACCCTTAGCATGGCCACGCATGCGTTTCAGTAGCCTTCCAGGGGCAAGATCCCATAAAATAATAGTTCCATGGTCATCAGCAGAAGCAAGAAGTCGTCCATCGTTGCTACATGATACAGCGGTAATGTTTCCCGTATGGCCAGTAAACATACGAACGGCATTACCCGTGCTTACAGACCACATGCGAACAGTATGGTCAGAGCTTGCAGTAAATACGTATGCAGAGTTTGGGTGAAAGCATACGCAATCAACATCCTGATCATGCCCGGCGAAGATACGTTGCTGTCGAATTTTATTTGTAACCCAAAGTCGCGCAGTTTTGTCGTGGCCACCGGAAACGAAGTAATGTCCAAATGGGCCCCAGGACAGGCTCCATACCGGACCAGCATGGCCTTTGTAAACAACGATACACCTCCAAAGGTCAAGAGACCAAAGGCGGATTGTTTGATCAGCGGATGAGGAAAGCAGCCAACGAGCATTGGTTTTGACTTCAGCGTCATCTGGGCTTGCTATAGACGGAGCAAAAGACACAGCATAAACTGGGCCAGAGTGACCGTACAATCTATGGGAATTTTTCGGAGTTGGATCGTCCGAATCGGGATATGTGGCGGGAATGGGGCGCCCATCGAGACTCCAAACACGGATATAAGAATCTTGCATCCCAGCAGCTACAAGAGTGTTGTCTCCAGAAAAATCCATGCAGGTAATTCTAAAAAAGAAAAAAAAAAAACAGGTACAGTCAGCTCCAGCATACCATAAACATGTCGGCCCGTGGGCTCTGCTACATACCCTTGGTTTGCATTATGGAACGTAAACATGCACACGCTGACTCCAGGGGCAACCCCTCCACTTCGACCGTCAATTTTAAATCTGTCACGATTTTCTTTAACTTTCTGGACTTCCATAGCTACGTCCCGCGCAGTAGAAGGGGGGTAAGGGATTTCAGAGCGGGAGGGTGCGTCAAGATCCTCCTCCTTCTTGATCATCTGGTCAAAATGTTGGACAAGAGTTTCTTTGCCGGGTCCAAGGTCTTCCTTAGAATCCTCTTCCTCTAGCTCCCCCCGAACGTCTCCCTCCAAGGCGGTTTCCGGAGGTAGTTGTCCCAATTTAAGCCGTGGAAGAGTTCCAGCTATTCCAGGATTGTCACCAGTATAAGCAGAGCCAGGATGATGACCGGGGATGCCTTCATCCTCAGCGGGTACACCGGCTGAATCTTTGCCCCTAGCCAACATTGCTCCAAAACTGAATCGGTCATCCGAAGCACGGTCCTTTGTAATGATAGTGCAATAGCTGCTCAGCAGGGCAGACATAACAGTTCCGCCCTCTTTGTGCTTAGTTTCGAGAAATTGCATCAGGTTAGAAAAAGCTGGGTTACTCAACGTGAGACGGTACTTGTTCTCGAGATAGAGCTTCGCGATGTGATTGTCCTGAACATGTTCGGGAAGAGCTAGTGTCTGCAATGCACGGATATCGTCTGTGTGTTCGGGAAGAAACAGATTTTTGTTCCCCTCAAAAAACTGACGGCCTTCCAGTGGCGTCATAGACTTGATAAGGTTTAAATATGAGTAGACAAATAGCGGCCAAAGGACACGTCTAAGCTCAGGCTGAAAGAAAATTGGCTGTTAGAAGGGGGCCCATTATAGAATAATATAAGTAAATAGGGTTACCTTGTAAATCTCCAAGTTGTCTTCGACCCATAGTTTCGTTATCTCTGGGATATAACAATGTGTCAGTCTCAAGCTTGATCCAGGTTACTGTAAGGGTTACAAACCAAAGGCTGCCCTGAACTTTGGATGGGTATCACTCGCAACGGGGAGGACTGGCCGTCCGTCGAGCTCTTGATTCGCTGATTCCATCCGGAAAATTGCTTCCGTTCGATTATAACCTTTCTTTGCCAGATAGTCAATAACCTATACGATGAAATATCCATTAGCTTTATACCCTAACTGTCGAATATAAACGTTCTCGTCCAGGCTGATCCATAGCAGTTAACTTCATACGAGACAACAAACAACAAGCAAATCGAAAGCAAAACAAAGAACAAACAGGCTTATAAAACAAAACCCACTATACGATCAAGACTGGAGAGAGATACTGATCGTGTGATAGAGAGGCGGTCCGAAACAGATGACCATCTAGGCGCAGGCGCCCATCCTTTAGGATACTCCATCTTGACTTGAACAATCACTCTCTATCTCGAGCCAGATTTGGTAGCTGTAGGGACTGTGTGTAGTGGAAAAGAGAAGAAGGTAAATAGCAAGAGGGAGGGTATTATGGCTGTCAGTGCGAAGTGGAGGACAAAAAGTGAGGGAGAAATTGAAGTTATAAGGTGTAGAAGGTACATAATTAGTCATCTTTTGACAAAAGGTAGTGACGGCAAAAACAAGCATGCATTTGCCCTGGGTTTATATTCAACAGATGTTTAGAGAGTGAAGCCCAAAACCAGATTCAACTTCACTACAATATCCCAAATAGAGTCAAAATGAGGGAAGTGCTTGTTCTAGCTAAGGGAAGAAGTGTTTCCGGCACAGAGGGCTTTTTTATCAGTGTAGGTATATAAAAGAGATTTCCCGCAGGATATATAAAGGCAGGCGGAAAACAGTCACAAAGAAATAAAACAAAAAGAAGCCCTATTATCCAAAGAACACACCAAAAATACTGCATATATGCAGTATGTATATATATATATATATATAAGATAAAATGAACTTACAATCTGATTTAGGTCCTGTTGGGACACGGGTCCAGGCCGGTTTGGCACCGCTGGTGTACCGCCGCCAGACGAAGGTCCGCTGGATATAGGCTGCTGATGCTGAGAAGGCATCGTAACTCCATTTCCCGGACCAGTGCTGCCGCTCCTGGGCCCAGGGCTGGGTGCTCCAGCAGGTCCTGACATCTTGTCTCCGGTTTGGTATATCTCTTGGTCGTTATGATAATATATATGTCAGTCTGTAGATATTCAGAAATTTAGATGTCCAATCTCTTCGGAACTAAAATATAGCTCATGACCCAAAACACTTGATGGTACAATAGATAATAACATGAAAGATATTAATGCTGTAGTATAAAAAAAGATGCTCAAACTCCGCGATCAAATCGTGATTTTTGGAGGTTCCTTTGGACGTCGCACGTGATCAATTATATTATATTACATAAGCAGACTCTATCAACTTCTACTTTTATATGGAAACCAAAAAGAGAGAATGGAGAGACGTAGAGACGGTAGAGATGGCATCCGACAAGGTGGTCTTCAGCCCTGCTGATCGCATAAAGGAACTAAATGAGGTTGATAAGGTATGCTTGTGGATTCTTACACTGTAAATAGGCTATCATTGACCTGAATATCTAGGATGTAGCTCAAATACTCCAGTCTGCAGGACTCGCCATCCAGTCACTTACCAACAGCGCATCACAAGCCCCAGAGATCTCAGAGACAAGTGGTTCACCTATAGAAGGATCTTTAGATGCCCGTAAAAAGGCATTCAAAGCTGCATGCTCTCGGTATTTTGCCCTTGTCTCGTCTGTAGACGTCAAACTACGCCGACAAGTCTATGCTTTAGAAGAAGCCTCAATAATACGTGCAGAACCTACTGTTCCTTTGAAAACCGGGGATGTTATGGTTGGTGGGACGGGTACAGTTTCACAATCGTCATCTGGGACTGTTAACCCTCTGGAAACGAGCTGGCTGAACAGTCGAAAGGACACAGTAGGGAAAGACAAAGAGGCGGAATTGTGGGCAGAAGCTAGCAGGTTTATGAAGAGTGTTGCATCCAAAGCGCAGAATAATGACGATAATCCATCGGCACCTGCTGATGCTGGTGGGAAACAGGCCATGGACATGGATTGATATGACTTGACCATCTAATAATGATTGACCAACAAGGAAACCATGACACTTGGGGAGCCGCTACCTACTTATTCCCACGATTCAGACCGCTTGGTTTGATAACCTTGCGCCTACTAGATAGCATTAAAAAGAATACGCATCCTTTGAAGGCTGCGTACAACCCGAGCCCACCATATTTACATACAAAATTGTTTGGACAACTTCTAGCATGTGGTATCTTACCAACAACATATGAGATAGGTCAGTGAGAAGGTTGTTGGTTGGAATAATGACTTCAGATAAGTGAGGGGCCGGCTACAAGAACGTCCTGGCCCAATAAGCCATATCAATTTTATAAGCCTTCAGAATGAATCCTGTATCCGGGAACTTCGAATATAATTCGTCCGTATTGACACTCATGACTCCCGGCATAAAACAGTGTGATCGTTAAAGTTCAACGTTTACATATGGTTCGTGTCTATATACAATAATGGCAGAGCCGTGGCCTCCATTTCCATGTTCAGCAAGCCCATGAATAGGGTTAACCATATTCATAGACACTAGCAACCATAGATTTCTCTTCTCTATTTCATCATTGCATTGATCACATTTCGGTGGGCAGATTTCTCTTCATTCGTCTCAGAAAGGGGTTGTAGGCCTGGAAGTAAATCACATTAGTATTCATAGTTATAGCAGACACTTATTTATGTAGTCATATAGGTCTAGACTCACTTCTAAGCTCAGAAACAACATCTTTCGCTTTACCGAAATAGACTTCCTCTAATTAGAATTACTGATGTTAGCATATATGGTGTAGGAAAAAGTAGAACTTGGAATCCATACGTAACAAGTTCCTCATCTTAAATTCCATGTCCTCAACCAAGCGACCCACGTTTGCTACATGGCTCTCATCCCCATTCGCGGCCAGGTCGGTTTCGATTTGTCTCGTCATATTGCCGCTCAGGTCCATCTCACCAAGAGTATCAGAGCCAGTAGATAGGTGGAGGATAACAGTGCTCGTAAGTTTATAGTGGCATGTTCTTCCACGCTCAGCAGCTTCAAAAACGTGGATACTGTCCCAGGCACCTGAATTCTTGGAGCCGGGGGTGATTCCTAAACAGGAGGAGAAAGAACATATCAGTCCGTGACTGCTACTAGCACGGTATCTCGCCTCGACCTGAATTACCTTTCTTCAGCAGCACCACACCAGCAAACCCATCATCAAGATCCCAAAAGTAAACGCTCCCCACTCCACCATCATAATAGAGGTCTCGATAGATATCAAATGATTTGTTGGCTTCAATCTCTAGCTTCCTCACTCGCTCACTCGGCACCGTTCCATCTTCAATTGGTGGGTCGAATTCGTTACTCCATGGACTTCGGTAGCTATCTCCATCACGATTATAGTCACAGAGCAAGTAGTCACGCTTGGAATGGGGACATCGCCGGACTTCAAGTGGTTGGTCGACGGATGCAAGGAGATCTTCTGTCAAGTCGGGAACGAGCGTAGTGATGTTAAGCAAATTCTCTTTTGTGTTTCGTGGGGAAAGGCGGCGGAGAAGGTCTCTGTTTCATTAAAGAATCAATATTAGAACGTCTGCGTATTCGGTGTTGGTTGATTTCTTGATAATATGCTGGGAGGTTGCCTATCCGAGTCGGCGGGGGAGGGAGGCCTGGATATAAAGCAGGGAGACGGCCGGTTAACTTACAAAGCACTGTCAAATTGTGTGTCCGCCATGGCTCTAGTAGGAAGAAGAGAAACAAAGCGATCCTGGAATTCGAGTATGAAGTCTGGGGTGGGCGAACTTTTTGATATAAATGATGTAAATAAAGATGATGAACCTAACTGGATCGTTAGGTGTGTGGCAAGAGATGTTTTGGTGTGTCTGCACCACCATCTTTACTGAAAAACTCCCAGGACGTTAACTATTAAGTATAAATATTTAATCCGTGTCATATCATCATTAGCCTATGCAGCCTATCTCGGAACCAGGGCCCAGGTAGTATTTAATTATACAATGTTTAGAAGGAAAAATCGCTATAATCACTAAAGACATGCCCCGCAGCATCTTCGCTCGCTCCAACAGCAAAGGCTGGTGTACCTTTTTCAGTCTCCGCTGAAGATTTTTGAGCGAGTGGATCACTACCAGCAAATGATTCTGCAAATAACTGATCAATGTCAGGGAAATCATCGTCGGGGCTATCTTGAGATGGATATATGTTACCGTTGTTGAGACCAAACGAACCAGACGCCTGGGTACACATCAACGATAGTCGGGACTCGGGCGGAGCGTCCCGGCGTATTTCCCGTTGCTGGTCGGATGAGTTAGTGGCAAGTTCAGTGTCAACAGAACAATGCTGTTCGTCATTATCAGAAGTTGGTGATGGCACTCCTTTGCTTGGCTCCCAATTATCGATATCGGATGGAAGGTAAGGCTCATACTTTTCGGCACAGTTGAAACCGTATTCTGACATTTCACGAGCTGCTTTTGCCAAATTTTGTGTCAGATTCGTATGCGGCACGTCTACTGTTGGCCGACAGAATCTTTGGAGAACAGGGTAAACATCCAGTCGAGGGAAGCGCATAACCTGTGGAGAAGTTCCAGCAACGGTCTGAAAGTTTCGCCGCAGCTCGAGTGTCTGGCTCGGGGTAAGGGTCACCTCGTTCAATGGCGGAAGTTCTGCAAGCTCTGGGCTTGGTTCACGATATTCAGACACGCTCTTTCGGTTATTGCGCTTCTTATCAATGCTTGTCAGAGTTAGGGCGTTAGTAAATCCTGTTTCGACCCCATCAGGCATATGGAATTTCTTCGGGGGCCTCTTGGGAACGCGGCCACGCTTTGTAGGCACCGGTAGCTCAGTCTGAGAGTTTTCGCTTGGTATTTCGATTCGTTTTTCATCAACACAAGGCTGGATATCACGAGGTATAATCCGGGGAGATTTATCCTCGTGAAACGTAAAGCGAGATCCAGAAGCAATTATCTGTTGCATCTTCTCGTAATTATCCTTTGCTCTGAAGTATTTCTCTTCTTCTTTGCCTTCCATTAGCAAGAGAACAACTTTTCCTGTGCGTTTTCTTCCAGTTCTCCCCATTCTTTGCAACATCCGAATAGGCGAGGCTGATGAATCGTAACAAATGATAAGATCGACTTCTCCAATATCAAGGCCTTCTTCTCCAATAGAAGTAGCAACGATGGTATTGTATGTTCCTTCCTTGAACTTCTTAATAATTTCTAGCTGCTTCTTCTGGTCCATGCCCTCAGAGCCTTTGGCACTGGCCTGGCCAACAAAAACATGTGGCAGTATAATTGGAGCGTGTTTTTTGAGCACCCTGACAATTTCCTCTGCACTGTCTCGGAAATGGCTGAACACCATCACCCGAGTCTTGGGGGGTGCGCCCCCGTGGCTATTTGCATCTGCGTCCAAAAAATGGTTCAAAATAACCCGTTTGAGATACTCCAGCTTAGGATGACCAATAAAATCCTCGTCTGCCATTTTCGACCGTAAAGTAGTCATCATGGATTTAAAATTTCCGTCATCCAAGATCTGCCGTGCGTATTTCCCTCCTTTTCCTTGACTACCATCTGTAGGGCCGTCACAAAAGGATACCAAATTACGATAAAATGGTCCAACACCGTGGTACTTAAGAAGTTCGATTGCATGAGCAAGGCTGGCTAGGACTGTAAATATGCTATTGACCATTCCTTTTAGGCCCCAGTTAGCATTTCTACCGGCCGGAGACATCATCCATTTTTTTCTAGCTTCAGTTAACCCAAAGGGAGTAAGGGACATTGGGTCGTCTCCCCAGTAGGCATTGAGGCCATGAAGCTTCTCGACAACAGGCTTCAGTGCTTTAGAAAACCGGTCCATGCATAGCTTCATATCGTCGGAGTTAGAGAAAGAAATAGTCTCCACATTTTTAGCATGGACATACTCTCGTATATCAAGAGATTCTTCGGTACGGATTTCAACCCTTGAAATATTTAAACCATCGATTACTTCTTGGACCGTTTCCACAGTTGACCCCGGAGTTGCAGTTAGCGCCAGAATCCTGAAGCTAGTATTGAACCGTTGTATGAACTTCACAACCTCGACGTATACATATGCGCCTGTTGCGCGATGTGCTTCGTCAACAACTAAAAGCACAATTCTTTTTGGATCAGCAACGCCGCTCTTGAGATCATTAATGAGAGTTTGAGGTGTCATGAAGAAGACACGTTTTGATTGCCATTCCAATCCTCGTAAGCCGGGAGGCACGTTTCCGGTAAGCATTGTGGTTTGAGAGCGAGGAATTCCAACGATATTAAAGCATGCATCAACCTGCTGGGAGACCAATGGTTTTGTTGGGGCAACGAATACAATCTGAGCGTCCTGTGTCCATCGAAACCAGTTTAACATAACAGTTGCAGCAATAAACGTCTTTCCCAAGCCGGTTGGTAAGGCAACAAGAAGATTATGAAATAGGCCACGCTGAGAAATATTATACTGATAGTCACGTTTCTTCCCCAGATTCATCGGGAAAATCCAAGTCCCCAAAGCTTCGGGGTTGAGGGTATGATGTGTCGGAGCCTCATTTTGGCTGGCTAGGGGCCAAGACCGCGAGACCGATTGGGATGGAGATTGATTCCTTGCAATACCACCAAATAACGTAGTCTGACGAAAGCTTTGTTGTTGGGAGCTTGTTTGTCGCCTCTGTGATGATTGGTATGCTGCCTGGGGTGGATTTATTGGTGTCCCATTCTTATGTGCTTGACGAGGAGAGGATATTGGAGATGAGTCAAACACGTCCGGGATATCATTAGGGTCAAAGTCCAATCCTAGCGCGGCCAAATCCAGTCGATTGTCTGTTGCTGCTGGGGAAGAGGTAACATGATTCTTTGGCCGGGGACTATCTGCATTGCGATTGGCTATCCTTGTCCTACTAACTGATGTCTCCTCCTTTAGAGATTTAAGGGATTCACGGATGGCTGTCTTAATATCTTCATCTGAGCCATCCTCCTCTTTCTGGTTACCAGAATCATTATCCGATCCCACCTGAGAAGAGATGGGAGGAGGGGTAGGAACTAGCCTTGTTGTTTTTGGAGGATATGGTTGGGGTTGGGGCTGGGGCTTCTTCCATCGTGGACCACGGATCCTTGAAGGACTTGATGAGGGCTGAGTTAACTGCGTAACAAAAGTCGGCTCCTGGTTAGTATAATATTTGGGTTGGTATACTTTAGGATTGTTCGCAGGCTGCTTTGCCGATTCCTTCCTGGTTTTGTGGGTAGAGCCCTTTTGGGATGGCAGTTCATCATCAGATTCATCATCAGAATCCTTCTGCGATTCACCGCTGAGACCTATATCAATTCCATCGTTGTCATTAACGCTATCCTCCCCTGTCTCTTCTTCTTCCGCCTCCTCGGCCTGGCTACTTATGCCCGTAGGGGAAGATATGGGAGGGTTGTATACACGTCGCCGTTTTGCTGGTCGAGGGCTTTCAGAAAAGTTTGAAGGGTCCGAATCGGCGTAAAGGGCTTCATCGGAGTCTGACAGAGCTGTAACCATCACTTTTTGGCATTATATTGATCTTAACAAGTGCCTTAGCTGAGTCCTGGTTTTTCTAAAGCGAAGACGTTCGCGTTAACCAATAAACGCGAAACCACGTGACACCTTCACCATTGATATGTGCGCTTGATTAACCAATTAAATCCAAGTAAAACTCAGAATTGTTGTTTGTATAATCGTGCATAACCACTAATAACGTACACAAACCAGCCGCAAAAGTCCATCCAGGAACTCTTGTATATACTGCACTTCTATTGTTACATGCTTTATAGTCCCTCTTTTGCAAGCATATCTAATCCGGTATAGTTAGAATCTTGGAGCCATATCGAACATTATATAACCAACTTACCTGCAATATCGAGATAGAATGCCACAGCATTGAATCTATAAGCCACAAAGGAACCAGTTAACCACTGATATCCAATTTGGCGTCCTTCAGGGCGTGATATGACTTACTTCTTTTTATTACCAGTCAGCTCGGCAGCAAACCATTTAAGGCGATTTGTCCAATTGATCAAATCAAGATGACTGACTCCAACTAGTGTTCCCTTGTAGCACCCCCATTTGCTGCTTGAAACGCTGACAAGGCCATCGTTCGGCCCCTCTTCCTTGTCTAGTATTCGCCGTGACTGGCTAAATATTGACCAAGTCTCGGGGGATAATACGGCACCATATGAGTAATACCTACGCTATTGTTAGCAGATTGTTTACTAAGTGGTTTAGCATCATATGGACTCGAACTTAACACCATCCACATTCACAACGTCTCGATTAAAAGTTTGGGCTAGGTACTTGCGAGTAAGCTGCTTGAATGCTCCGTTTTCTAAGCCCAGTCGGTCAAGTATAAAGTAAGCCTGGGAAAGCCGTTCCTCTATCACTAGTAAGTTATTATCTCCTGGGGGGACTTGTCGATTTACAAACCACCAAGCCATTCAAGCGTATAGTCGGCTACTGCAGAGCCTATATAAATTAGTTAGACATTATTAGTACATATACCCAGTTCAAGAGTAGAGTATATACCAACCTTGATGGGGAGTGGCGATAGTCGTCAATGAAACAACCTCGAATGTCGTTGGCCGTAGCTTGCTGATCATATATCTGGCATCCAATCCACTTAACCAAATGCATTCACAAGTTAGTGAAAGTAGCATAGCGTATAGATCTGATATTGACAGCGTACCCCTAATGAAAAAGGTAAGTTGGTTTTCCTCAAAGGGGGTATTAGAGAACCATACCATGCTATGTCTGTATGGCCAATTCAGTCAGTCACGCGGTAACTAAGAAGCCTTAAATTAAACCACCTCAGTGGACGGCCAAAAAATGGATAGGCAATTGAATGTAGAAGAACTAAACTCACGCAATAATGTTAACCTTTCTGCCTTGTGCACGACTCTCAATCCCTCGCATCAGCTCCTCCGCACGATGTTCTATCGAAGCTGACGGGGAGACAGGGGCAGTAATAACCTCCACGCCATTGATAGAATAGGCATCTTTAATTCCTCTCCAGTAATGAATGGCCGGTAAGGCTCGTTTTGCGATTCGCAGTTCATCAAAACCTAGAAGGCCGTGGGCTAATACTATGGGATTCTTTGGTTTTACTATCTCGAGCAAAAATAAGGCATTCATGTATCGCATATCAGTCAGAGTCTGGAGATCTGCAGTTTATCTTGCTCTAAAGGGGTATATAATATTGAGCACTCACGATATGAGTCTCGAATGTTTGCATATTCATCTTCAATTAGGTGGCCGAGTCCGGCAAGACGGCGGTCCAACAGTCGACTTGTCCGCTTTGTATCGAAGAAAATGGACCTACGGGATTGAGAACGTCCTGATAGATAGAATAATGGCTTTAATTGTCTCGTACTGGAACCGTGTATCCCCACCCTTGCAGCTCTCATGTCTTCCCTTAAGGTATTGGGATCAGGTACGATGAGGTCACAGCTAAAAAAACTAACCCTTGACAACGCTCCGGGCTGAAAGGCGTTAGCACTTAAATAATAGTCGAAGAGAAAGTATGAAATATGGCTTTCTGGTAGACGAAGTGGGATATAGCTTGTTGAATAGCTGACAAGGGATGTATGTTTCATGTGACGCATGTACCCAGGAAACCAAAAGGCAAAAAAGTATCGTAGGCTGCAAAGCTATCTATTTCTATTCATAGCTCACTTTCAACAGATATTCCGTGTAAAAGGCACAGAACAACACCCGTAAATATCTCCATGCCTACCACAATCAATTATAAATCCCTTGAGCGTCCAGCAAATGGCGCAAATTACCACAGCAAAATAAATAATAGGAAAAAAAAATTCAAATGACCCCGAACGGAGGAATAAGAATCTCCAGTCTCAACCAAGCCGTTAAACATAAATCAAGCCAGTGCGATCTAAGCTTTCTTAACTAGTTTCTCGGGGACCTGAGGATTGACGTCTAAAACGGCCTTGATGAGGTCGTCTACAACCTTGTCACCCTTTCCTTGGCCGGATTTTTTGATTTCGAGGAGCTGGGCTTCAGCATCCTTATTTGCTTCGTTTTCGGCTTTCTTATTTCCGCTCGAATGCTGGAGAAGGAGATAATATCAGCTTAGTCTGTATATATTTTCTGAACACCTATTCCCTTGGTTATGGGGGAGAGGAAACGAGTGTCCCGCCGCATTTCCACCAGAGAGAATTATATTACCTCAGCCTCGAACTTCCGGAATTCCTCCTCCTTATGTTTCTTGTAATCTTCGATTTCCTTTTGTGCCTCAGTCTTTGCGTCCTTTATTCGTTTTGTACGGTCTGGATGGGTAGGGCGTTAGGGCGTGTCCTGCAGGTTACAGCATGGTGTTGCGGGATAGGATGAACTGACATTCTCTAGCTAGATGAAGAGTTAGCCAAAGCTATGTGCTAGATCTAGAGAGACTTCAAGGGCAAACCGTACCATCCTGAACTATCTTCTGAGCTTCCCTTTCTGCCTATCCATCTGATGTTAGCTGGGGATGTTACCGGAGGTGTAAGGCATCAGGCAGTCATACATCGAGGAGGGTCTGAATTCCTGCGGAGTTTTGTGCAGCCTAAAAACACCCCCCATTGTCAGCCTTATTAACCAGTATTGTAGCTGCCAAAGAGCGATATCCCGTACCATACTTGAATCTCTTCTCTCCTAGTTGCGCCGGAATGGAGTGGAATGGTCCTGAAGTGCCGTCATTGAAGCCGGCCTTTTCGCCCTTTAAGAAGCGCCCGCAGCCCCAACTAAAACCCACGTGACTATAGCAAGAACCTTTGATGAGAGAAAAGCTTGGAGATAAAGAAAAGCAAGCTCCGTTCACATAGCCTCCTATTCCTTTGCTCCTCCCTCCTTCAGAGGCGACAGAGAGCAGCAATGTCTCGAGCTTCGAAAGTTACGCTAGGAGTCACTTCCCTTGTGACGGCCGGCATTGTCTACTTTGTTCACTGGTCTCAGGAATCAGAACGGTTGGTAAGAAGTCTTCATTGCGCAGTCTCTCAAGACCGAATAAAAAAAAGAGGGCTAATCTCTCTCTGATAGGCGATGCATGCTGGCGTTGAGCGAGATATGGAACAGCAGCGAATCAAGCGTGAGCGACAGGCGGATTTCGAGATGCAGAAACGGCTTGAGGAGGAGTATAAAAAGCTACAAACTGTCTCAGACAGTGTTCCACCGCTTAACATATCCGGGAACAAAGGCGTGAATCAACAGACATAGGGTTTCAATACTTTGAATCCTCTCAGCACGTTTGGGAGATATACAGCAAGAGATGAAGGAAAGCTGGACCTTCCCGATCTTCTGAGCTGGCCTCCACCGGGGCAACACCTGCACACATCGACTGTAAAGGATCCGGCGTGGTGAAACGATAGCTGCTCATGTTGCAAGGCAACTGATGTCCTCAATCTCTACTCCGTACATCCTTTCCCATTCGGAAGGAACCGCATACCTGCGATAGAGCCTACGACTTGACACCATGTCAGACCAATATTCATCCAGATTAAACTTATCCGACTCATCACCTTTGGCATCGAGATATAGACTACGGACCTATACATCCAATCTCCACTTAGATATGTATACATATATTTACTTCGCGACCCAGGTCCAAGTCACCTACTCCCTCATAAGCATCTAGCATACACCGGGTACGCTTTCCCCTCGGGTATACGATACCTTGTGAAAAAGAAAGCGTAATAAGATATTTAGGTTTTCTATAACTTATATATCTTTCCACATTGAAAAAGGCTCAATAGAACGAAATCTTTTGCTCCTATTTTTGAGGCACCCCTATTTCCACATGGTTGAGTAAACAGTAATACGTGAGATGCACATGCACAAATCGGTGCGGACAAGGGTCGAAATACACCTATCAGCTGTCAAATATCGGTCTACATGATGGAAGACAGAATAAAGTCAGTTCGAGGTCAGCTCTCTCGTCAAGGATTGGCGATGTCATGCAAAGTTGTAAAGACCCAGTGGACTATTCCATTAGTACTGGCGCAGATCAACCTAGTCCGCCCTTCTGCCCCAAAAGAGACAACCAAACTTGGAGACCTGACTGGTGCCTTGCGCGTTGTCCCGAGGGAATTTCCCCGCCACCAATAAATATTTAATAATATGCCTGACAACCAAGAAACAAGCCCATCGCCTGAAACTCTGCAGCGTGGACGTTTAAGCAAGGAAAAACAACACGACACAACCCGGCAAACTGACGACTCTGTGAGAAAAGAACCGGTACATTCGCTCCTGGTGCGACTTACTCTCCTCATATTCTCCACCCCTTCAGTCCTTGCATACAGGTCCCGCGCGAGATGCTGGTAGGCTACGGGCTCAGCTACGCCCCCTAATACGAAGAGCGTTACCCGAGTTCCCATGAACATTCCCCGTTTCCAATATGTCCGCGTCGAAATTAGAATGTTGTTGTGGGAGGGGTGATTGTCCATACCTAGAGCATAATTCAGCTACTTTGGCTGAGTTGGAAAGAGATGTGGAAACTGCCGCACGGCTTGGTCAGGTACGCATGCATGTGCCCTGCTGGCCCATGTTGGACGAATCACTTTTTGGCCACTCAGATATATCTACCACCCACTCCTCTGACGTTCTGAACGTGAGGATATAGTTTTATCCCTGCTAACACCTAGTCTTTTCGGTTTTGCTTATAGGCCCTGCTCGACCGCCATGAGTCCTACAAAGCCGAATCAGAGAGCAACCTGGACCGGATGACTGCGGAGATGGAAAAGCTGCAATCAAGCAAGAAGGAAGTGGAAATAGAAAATGCGCGAATTGTGGAAGAAAACCGTGGTCTGCTCGACCAGTTGGAGAAGTTGAATCAACTCCTTACAGAGTCAGATGCACAGGTCAGGACTCTGACTACCACGTTACAAAGTACTCAGTTGGAGGTTAGAAGGCTGTCATCCTCCTCCAAGCGTGTTGAGCAGCTAGAGGAACAACTGCTTCAACTCGAGAATGAGCAGGCTCAACTGGAGGATACTCTCGTTTTGACTCAGGAGAGCGAGAGTGCGGCTATTCAACGATGGAGGAAAGCGGAGTGTGCGCTCGGGGATTTGCATGACCAAATCGATCGGATCGAAAGGGAAGCGAGACAAGAACGTGAGAGGCATGTCGAACTTATCGGGAGGTTAGAACGACGACGGATGGTAGAGAGAGAGCTGGATACAGCGGCTGGTCGAATCAAGGGTGCCGCGGCTTCTGCATCCCTCTCACGAAACGGGACCGGAACAAATGTGGTGTCCCATTTCGTGCGGGATATCTTGAAGGATAACGCAAATCTCCAGCAATGCGTTACCGAGCTTAAGGAGATGCTTCAGAGCTCCAATGAAGATGTAAAGTATCTGCAAGAGCAATTACTACTTCACCAACCTCTCCCCCCTAGTTCTATCGAAGAGCATGCCTACGGTAACCTTGTTCCACTCAGTGAAGAACTCGAAGATAAAATACCGGAACAAATACCGGAGCAAATACCCCAGGAGATTCATGTGCACCACCATTTCCACAACCAAATACCAACTCCGTTGAGGAAGGAGAAGCAAATCCCTATACATCGGCGTCAAAGGAAAAGGAGGCCTGTCCTGCCTCCAACTCTCCACGAATCTTCCACCAGGGCACTCCCGATGGCACAGGCTATGCACAGACCTACTAACTCAGCATCGTCAGTCACTAGTGTCTTCTCGCAAGCTTCGACTTCACTGCCAGGAGCAGCGTCTGCCCTTTCATCCATACCCAGTTCTCCGCTCTCAGGGTATAGAACATCGTCCATATTTGATCGCCATGACTCGGGCTTTGACTCGTCTCGGCCAACTAGCCCGGAGAGTGTGGTGTTTTCGCCGCCACGGTACAAAACGAGCCACCGCCCGAGGCTTTCGGACGCCTCCTTCCGCTCAATTCACGAAACCGATGAGCTAGACAAGGGTGAATCTCCCTTATCACCAGTTGAAGTAATGGCTCAGCCACAATATCACGAAGGATATCAGTCACACGAAGCTGATGGCCCTAACGGCAACTCTATTGAGGCCACACCTAACCTGCAGCAAAGCAACGAAGACGTGTGTTCATCGGAGCGTAAGGGTTCAATCGGTGGGCCTAGTGAAGAAGTAGTGGATGATCGTATCAAACCGCAAGGTGGCTCAATGGAAACCCACACTGGCTCCCTGATCCATTCTGCAAACCTCACTCGCCGGCCGCATCGTTCTGCCTCTCATACAAGCCTTATTTCGGTTTCCGGTATGGATATACATACGACAAGCAAACACCCTACTTTAGCATTAAGGGCTGCTCCAACTTTCTTCTCGAGGCCTCCAAAGCGCGTATCGAGTGCTCACATAATGTTCCCGTCTCCCACTCCAATCATTTCGAGGACGAACGCCATCGTACCCAAAGCGTCTTTGACTGGCGAACAGACTTCAGTCTCCTTACTTACTTCTGTTGTGTCTTCAAATGGCAGGAATCTCCGAGCTGTATCTGACAGTGTTACTCAAACCCACAGTGATGCAGCCTCTACCATCTCAGCCTCATCAGAACCCTCATTTCCTGCAAAGGCCGGAATGCCTACCCGAGCTATCGGCATCAGAAAGCGCATGGGTGGCTGGGTACGGGACAGATGGTCTACGAGTGCAAATGATGAAGCAGCTAGCCATGCATTTTCCCTTCCTGCAGGACCTTTGGTACCACGACCACCAGGCGTTAACCAGAGAGGGCCTATCCTTGGCTTACGCCCGCCCCCGCCCGCTCCAGTGTCACTTCACCCGGAAAACCTTAACCGTGACCTACTACAAGAGTCTCTACTCGAGTAATACGAAATATCTCCCACCGACCTTACATTCAGACCTACCCTCTATTTCATTTCATACTCCTTTTTTTAATTTCACCACCATGCCTCAGTTACCCGTACTAATACATATGTCGCATATTTCCTTGTCATTCCAGCCGGAGTTATTTGCTTTCAGTCGTTTGCTCTCATTTTGTTTCAGAATATTTGATCACACATATACATACTGTTCGTTATAGCCTTTTCATTTGTCGCATCATGATACCCATGGAGCCTGTTCCATTTCGGTCTGTCGTTTATATTACGCTTTTGAGCATATTGTGTTATAATCTGTACGGTGAAGGCGCTGCTGTCAGGTGAAGGTGTACATATAGCTCTGTAGAACAGAAGCCTTTGTCTTCATATATCATATTTAATTTACCCTTATCACATTGTTGAAGTTGAACAGGAAAAAAATTGCTGAGTAATAACCTTATTTAGACGCTGCCTGGTCCCTGCGTCCACGACTCAAAGTGGGGCCAGACGGAAAGCACGTCAAGTTATTCTTTCGCCTAGATGGACGAAGCAGCCTCCTCCCTCGCCCTTAAACTCCCTGGCCTAGTTCACTACTGATAGCATAAGAGGGCTGCAGGTATTTCACAGGGCACTCGAGAGTTAGCAGTAACACAGGGGAGGGTTGTGGTTCAGTCTATGACGTAACTAGTCCCGGAAGTCAAATATTTTTTTTTTCTCTATCCTGGCTGTTAACTACTCGTTAATTCATTATTTGGCATTACTCCGGCTGTGACACCGATATAACTCCACTGGATATACATTCTGCATCATACATATCCCCCGTACCTGCGAAAATGTTGTCGAAGGAGCCTGAGCCCATGTGCCAGGCGGAGGATGTAGGCGGGGACGCGCCTGCTTGCAAGCCAGAGCTATCGACGAACGACCGGTTCTTCCGGTACTTCCAGGAGGAAGTAGCCAGTATGTCGATCCCTGAATTGTGTAGACTCATCATTGACCAGCCGCTAATTTCGATTCATACAGAGTTGCAGGAGAGCATAAGCCTTCTTCCGACTACCCCGTTGGTGGGGGGCGAACAGGTCACAGCCGCGGATTATTGTTTAGCTGGTATTTCACGCCTGTCGGATGAGGTCAAGGATGCATCTTCTTATATACCAAGTTATGATCAACGAGTGTATTCAGAGGTATGTCACGCCGGCGGGCCCACCAGCACATCATGATCACTCGAATAACCACGGCTTTGTAGACTATAAAATCGCTTCAGGAAAAGCTAGCGGAAACAAAAGCAGCAATAGCACCTCGCAAGCGCTTTGCTTTTAAGAAATCACGTCGCACCCCTCCCGTCAGGGGATCAGCTGAATCAACGGAAGATACCCTCTCGCCATCACCGGCTCCGGCCGCCGATATAAGTGAGACCGACGACAGCAACGGCCCCACGCCGTCAGACGACGCGACGATGCGAGAACAGCCAAACACACCGGACGAACCGTCCGTGGTATCGTTCAACTATATCCGAGACGCACATATCGTCCTGCCTACCTCGGCACCGGTCCGGAACGCCTCCGCGGCCATCAGCAATATCCAGCATTGCGTCGTGGACATGTCTTCCATCCCCGAGATAGGCCGATCGTTCGCCAACTTCATCATCAAGTACGCGTGTGAGAGCCTGCTGATTTGCGGCAAGGTAGATGGGGCCGCGCACCTTACCGGAATCACCGACTCGGTGATAGTAGTGACATGTCAGCAGTTTAGAATGCATGATTGCGCCAATGTGGATGTGTATCTGAGCTGTGCTAGTAAGCCTATTATTGAAGACTGTGTGGCTATTCGATTCAGTCCGCTTCCGGAATCATATGTGAGTGGCTTTGGCTCTTTTTGTTCTGCTGTTCCATGCTGACGGGTTGGTAGTCTGGCCAGAACGGTAAGAAGTCGGATAAGTGGGCTCTTGTGGAGGATTTCAAGTGGCTGCGGCCCGAGCAGAGTCCTAACTGGAGTGTTTTGGATGAAGAGGATGCTGTGCCGGATGAGGTGTGGGGAAGGTTACTGGTTGATAAGGAGAGTTGGTCGCTGGATGAGATTCTACGGGCTACTGGCGTTCTGAAGCTGGAGGTTTAGCGTGTGTCGTGTTTTGCGTGTGAGAAGGTAAAAAAGGGCGAAATACGGAGTTTACTGTCTAGGCATTCTTTGGTGTATGGAAGGGATGAGGGTATACCCGGATGATTGGATGGCCGTTGATAAGTCTACCGTTAATGCGTACAAAGTAATAAACATTGCCACACAGACTGAATGAAAAATAAAGTAGCAGATGTAGCACGGAATGAAAGGGGGGGAAAAAAAAAGTAGAAGATATAACTATTTCCGTGTCTGCCGCAAGTCAACGGTCTCAAAGTCTAGCCCCTTTGCTTCGAATACGTGGCCCGGCCGTAGGGCATCGGTGTATATGTCTGTCTCATCGTGCGGGTGGAACAAGCCGGGCCTGGTACAGTTCAGGACCGACTTGAGGCCCGGCGGATCCGTGAGCCGAAAGACACCCCAGCTCGGCTCGTGGCTGGGCGCACAGACAATGGCAATGCTCTCGGACAGCATGACCTGGTAGCCGGACTGGGTGTGCAGGTCCCTCGAGCTCATGAAGCATGTCTGGCTGGGGTGGGTGTGTATCCAGCCTAGGACCATGAGGTCTTCTGATTCGCAGTACTCGAAGATGGCAGCCTCGTTGAGCATCTCGCATGTATCGGGGGTAGACTCTTGTTCGGGGATGATGAGCTTTGATATGAAGAAGGCGTTGGAGATGAGGGTGCCGGCTAGGATGCCGCATGTTTCCAGGTTTGAGGTGGTGTTGGGGGAGGCGATGGAGAGGAACTGGGCGCGGAGGTCGGGGGAGATGAAGATTGTGCGGAGCGGGGTGCCGTTTTCGAGGTAGGAAGAGGGTTTGAAGGTGAAGGTTGAAGGGTGGAGGTCATCCTTGCTGGGGAGTGAGGGAGGAGATGCGAGGGTGTGTGAGCGCGAGTGGGTAGGGGTAGGGGATGGTGACGGGGTTGCCGAGCCTGGTCTTGGGGGAAGGGGCGGAACCTTGCTTGGTAGTAGAGGAGGGAGGAGTGTTGAAGTGGTGGTGGTGGTGGTGAGATTGGCTGTATGTTGGGGAGAGTCGATGATCTTGGCGGGTATGGCCGGCGTCTTGCCCGGGACGGGTGGTGGTGGCCGCGAGACATCCTGCTTTGGAAGGGAGGCGGGCACGGGCGTGTACTGGCTCTGTCTGGGGATGGAGGGGTATCTGTATCCGGAGAGATGCTGCTCCATGGGCAAGATGGAAGTGGTGGTGGTGGCATCAGCCGTGGTGGTGGCAGTGGTGGCAGCGGACTGACTGTTGAGCATCGACCTGACCTCCTGCAGCCTCCTGGCCAGGACGTCCCCCTCTGTCCTGGTGGTGCTGCAGCTGGCCTCTGAGCTGGCATAGGACGTCCTTCTCCTGATCTCTCCTCCGCCTCCGCCACGCGCCGTGGCCCTCCGTCTAAACTCACTCTGGGCCAACCTGACGGCAAAGTCTCTGTTATCCGCCGCCTGCAGTGGCTCCGGCCGCCCTGCGAGCGCGGGATCCTGCACCGTAGTGGCACTCTGGACCGTGGCATCCAGGTCCGAGAAGAAGGTATCTGCGGTGTCGTCGATGGTCAGATCTCTAGTACTGCTGCCATCTTCTCGGCCGCGGTCCTTGTGCAGCTCCTGATAGCGCTCACACAGCCTGCGTATACGAGGCTTGAGGATCTCGAGCTTGTTGAGGGAGGCCTGGACCTCCTTCTTGGCCGCAGCGAGACCCTGCTTGTTCTTTGGGTCGCGGGCATCGGGGTGTCCTGTCAGGTTGATGAGGACGAGCTGAGCGTGTCTGAAGAGCAGGAGGTACGCCTGCTGGTCGTTCCCTTCTTGTTCATAGATGCGTGCCTGCAGCTTGTTAGTACTGATCACTCATGAAGAGGAGGAGGGGAGGAGGAAGAGGAAGAAGAAGAAGAGGAAGAGGAAGAGGAAGAAGAAGAGGAGGAAGAGGAAGAAGAAGAGGAGGAAGAGGAAGAAGAAGAAGAGGAAGAGGAAGAGGAAGAAGAAGAGGAAGATGGAGATGAGTATACCTCCTTGACGAGCAGGCCGGCAGACCTCAGCCAGTATCGCAGGGGCACCTGGGGATCAAACTCGTACTGGCCGGCCTGGCGGGCTATCTGCTCTACCGTCAGCGGCGGCAACATGGCGCACTCTCTCGTGGTCGAAGCCGGGCGTGGTCGACGGTTTGTATGTTTTTCAAGGAAGTTGTTTCCAAGGTTGAGTCCAGTGGGGGGTGGTTGACTACAGCCTGTACAGTCCGCTGTGACCATGACGGGGGAGAGGAGGAGAGGGAAGCCATGCCATGCCTCTGGCCTGTCCGTCCTCTTCCATCCTGCTGTTCTCTTATATTCTCTGGTTATATTAACCGATTAACTTGGGTCTCTTTCTTGTCTGCCTGTTTCAACTTCTTTTCTTCCTCGAAACTCCAGGCCTTCTCACGTGATACAAGCGGCGAGCACTTGATTATGTAAGACGAAGGGGCTGGATTATGGTTTATCCGAGGGTTTAGGCAAGAAGAAGAGAGGAAGAAGAAGAGAAGAAGAAGAAGAGAGGAAGAAGAAGAGGAAGAGGAAGAAGAGAAGAAGAAGAAGAGAAGAAGAAGAGAAGAAGAAGAGAAGAAGAAGAGAAGGGCAAGGGGAGTCTCTCTGGGCTGTCCTGGAGTAATGGATGGATACTCTATCTGCTACTCTGCCTTATGGGCTCGCTAAGGAACCAGGCAGGGAGAACGACCAATGACGGGCAGAGACTCTTTTCTTTTTCCCAACTACAACTTAAAACCACCTGGAAGAAGAGGAGGAGGAGGAAGAGAAGAAGTTTTAGAGTTAAAAAGGACGCCGTTGGGGATCAGCAGGAAGTCAAGAGGCGTGGGAGAGTCCTTGGGTGGTGGTGGTGGTGATGGTATGCTGGTGGTGGTGATGGTATGCTGGTGATGGTAGGGAGTCATGTCGTGTGCTTGCGGTAGAGGTAGTAGGCAGTAGAGGTAGTAGGCAGTAGAGGTAGTAGGCAGTAGAGGTAGTAGGCAGTAGAGGTAGTAGGCAGTAGATGGAGTAGTAGAATAGGGAGAGGCAGTAGGGGTAGACAGTAAGAAGAGGAGGAGGAAGAGAGAGACAGTACTATGTAAGGACGGTAAGAGAGTAAGAGGAAGAGAGTAAGAGGAAGACTTCCCTTGTCTGGCAAGCAAGCTTTCCTTCTATCCTTGTTATCTCTTACTCTCTGCTGTCTCTGTCTCTGTCTCTGCTTCTGCTGCCTCCTACTGACTGCTTCTGCTGTGCTACTACTTGGCGCTTCTTGTCAACTCCCAACTTCTTCCATCTTCTGCCTTCTCTTCATCCTCTGTCTCTTCCATGTCCAGCGCCAGTGCCGCTTAAATAAAAAGAGAGAGGAAAAAGAAAAGAAGAGGCCGACCCAAAGGAAGAGAAAAAAAAAAGAGGGCCCACGTCTTTTCTTCTTCTTCTTCCGCCCCAAACCCAGATCACACTAAACACTTTGCACACTCCTACACCCGTACATACAGATACTACGAGCTACCGGTGGATGCATCTCTACTCGTGGTTATAGCAGGTTGCGCCTGAGGCTGCTTCCCCTGTTGATACTCTTCTCTTCAAGGCGTCCTCGTTTGGCGGCTGCTGCTGCTGCCCAGCTTTCCCAGGGAGGATACACCATCACGACCACGACGACCACCACCACCACGGCCACCACCACCACCACCACAGGCGTCATGGCCACGGCAGCAGCAGACAAGTCTCCAAAGGAGCCCAGGGAGAAGGACTCCAGAGATAAAGAGTCCAGGGATGTGACAGAGTCCGAGACCGCGTCGAATGCCACCACTCCGGCCCCCTACAGCACTCGCTCGCGGAACAGGGTCGGGGCCCGTATCAACTATGCTGAAGACAACACAGAGCTGGACGCAGAGCTCGACCAGCCCATGCCTCCCGCCAGCACCAACGCCGGCAGCAGCACAAGAGGAACTCCCGGCCGCAAGCCAAGGGACAGGGACGCCGCGGCCCAGACCACCAGCGGCAACATCAGCAGCAGCAACAGCAACAACCACAGCAGCAGCAACAGCAACAACCACAACAGCAGCAACAGCAACGAGAAACCGCCGGGCATGAGCACGCGCAGGGCTGCGGCGGCCGCTGCTGTCAACGGCGCCGCGGCCAAGGACGGCAAAGATACTGCCATACCGGGCACCTCCAGCTTCTCCGCAAACCCAAACCCGGCCGTCGTCTCGAAGAAGAGGAAGCAGCCCGGGGCCAGCACGACGGTACAGAACGTCGTGCCCGCCAACGGAGGCGGCCAGGCCGGTAAGAGGTTCATTGCCGCTGGTTCGCGCAATTCGGAGGAGTCGGCCACCACTTCCATGATGACCTTTCGCCATTCAAAGGCCATGCTCAAGAACGGCAAACTAAAGGCTGACGACGGCACCCTCCTCGCCCCAAACGGTGTGTCCCTACTCCTCACCTATAATATACTTCTATATACTGACTGAATAGACCACGTATATCTGATCTGCGAGCCGCCTGGAGAGCCGTACTACCTCGCGCGGATAATGGAGTTTCTCCCGCCCAAGGACAACCCGTCCGGCCCCATCGAGAGCGTCCGCGTAAACTGGTACTACCGCCCCCGCGACATCCAGCGCAAGACAAACGACCTCCGCGTCGTCTTTGCTTCCATGCACTCCGACGCCTGCCCCCTCACCTCTCTCCGGGGCAAGTGCACCATCCGCCACAAGACCGAGATCGCAAACTGGGACCAGTACATGCGGGCCAAGGACTGCTTCTGGTTCGAGCGCATGTACGACAGATACATACATCGATACTACGATGTCATCCCCACCAGTCGCGTCATCAACGTGCCCCAGCATGTCAGGAGGTCCTCGACGAGCGGTGGAAGTACGTCTCGTGGAGATCGGCCGCA